GCGCTAACTGACTCAAAACAATTTCGGAGCCCACGTGTTCTGGCTGCCATGACGAAACTAAAGCCAAAACCAATTGAGATCCCGGAAAAATGGCCGGGGAAATGACCGCAACTAAAAAAGGGCGCCTACCTGCAGGGGCCAGCAGGTGGCTCGATTTTTGGGATAGAAATCCTGGATGGGTTTGATCCCGAACCGAATCCCTGTTGTCTTTATGGAGCCACGTGCTCCAGCCGCTGCTCACTGGCCAGGAAATTCATGGCCACTTAAATGCTGTAAAATGGACCAAGCTGCCGGCACAAAAAACCAAAAGTTGCTCTAGCAAAACTTTAGTTTAGCTTTCATAGACACACACAGAAACCCAAACCCACACACCTTGGTCGCTTTTATGGGCCATCTTTTTTTGCTTCTCGCCATTATTTTTTCTCTGTTCGGGTCAGTCATAAAAAGTTAAAGTTGAACTTTTCTAGCTGAACGGGTAGCCAGCGGTAAATCAGTTTTTATTGTGCATAAATTAAAAATGTTCAATTAAAAGCAGAGAAAAGAACAAGTGCACGTGGCTGGTGGCTCAATTTTCCAAGCCAACTTTGCCGGGCTTTGTGAAACAAAAGACTGTAGTTATATCGAACTTCTGACATAGATCGAATAGATTGGATGTTCAACAATTTAGTTACGTAAACATGCTGAAATTCCGTGGCTATCAAAACATATGGCTGCCACCGTGTTGTATGCGCAATATTCAATGCACGCACCATTGTCCCAGCAATTATTTATACATTTGTTGCGCATTAATGCATAATTATTGTCAATAATTAACACAATAAAAACAATGAATTCTGCTGCGAATTACAATTCTGCCTTTTTCCATGTGTGTGTTTCAATAATCAGTTGCAAACACATTACGCTTTTTATTATCTTCATTAATAATGCAGGCCGAAATCCTACTCTGGCACTTAATTTTGTTTATACTCGTTCATTAAATGCGTTAAGCTTAAAATGGACGCCATTTCGTTGATTAACAAAAGAAGAGCTCGATCTGTGTGCATTATTAAATATTGTAATGATGGGAACGTAGATTTTGCCTGTACAAAATTTACAAAAAGTGTATGTTAAAAAAGGGAAATGAGTGTGGCGAACATTATAATAATTATTACATAACATAAACTTAATGAATTCGTACTTAAGGGAATAATGGCTGCATTCTATTTATTTGTTCGTTGGATTTTTTAAAAGGCTATTCAAACTGAAAGAAGGTTACTCACACTAAAATTAATCTCAAGTAAATTATTTTATATAAAATGCAAATTCTATTTATTTTTATATTTTTTAATAACTCATAAGACATATTTATTTGTCTCTGAGCCCCAAGGAAATATTCACTTGACATCCTTTTACAAAATCATTTCCAGATAAATATGGTAGTGAAATATGGTAATTACAAAATTTGTATGAAATTCATTTTCCCTTTTCAAAGCTTTCTTACATTTTTTCTTGACATTTTCGGCCCGAAACTAACAAACTATAAAATTCAAGCTGAATATCTGTCAACGCGTCGAATGCATTTTCCCAAGGCGATGAAAATCAATTTGCAATGCAGCGTAGCAGCAAAAAAGCCGATGGCAAAAGGAAAAATACCCAGAGACACATGCCGAGGCGCACAGGCTTTGCATTTGAATCTGAATGTGAATCTGAATGTGAATCTAAGACTGAATCTGCATCTGCTGCTGAATCCGAATCAAGGAGCGGGAATCAGCGAGCAGAAGGAATGCCAAGGCAATGCAAATAGCTCTAAATGCATTTGACGATGCTGTGATTTGATTTCGATATTCCCCCTGTGTATGTGTTGACTTTCAATTTCTGTTCGCGAGCGCAAGTTTTTGCCTCGTTTTTCCCCGGTTCCTCTTCCTCCCATGAAAACCTGATTATAATTCGAATGCAGCGACTTCTGCCTTCCACGAAAATGTCATTCGAAAGTTGGGAAAACTCGAAGATGCTGCCGCCTGCCAACTTCCGCTTCCGTTTAATCATTTTCCTCACTGTTGTTATGCCGTTGGGCTGATTGCCGTCGTTCACTTAGCTGATTGCAGTAGCTATCAAAAATTCGCAGCGACAACGTGTCGTATGCGTGATATTATGCCAGGTCGTGCTCATTCGCACTTGTCGCGCTGGCATCTTCATTCATACGGGGAGCTGCACTGAGAAGAATAATTAACTACTTTGTAGCTATTTATTAGGCTTATAAAAGTGCAAACCTTAAAACCTAACTTAAACTTAAAAATCTTTAAAAAGTCATCTGGGATTCTTTTAAATATTATAATAACAGATATAATTAATTTAAAATATTAAATATAAATAAATATTAAATAAATAAAAAATTTTTAAATATTATTTTCAATATAATAATACATTTTATTTCCCCGTCAATAAGTTAATTCAATAATTCCTAAATATTACCTACCTTTTTTCGTATGCACACTATTTTTTTCTGAGTGCCTCCGTTGGAAATGGAAAGATGGCAAAGTGAGGAACCTCGGGGAAAAAACTTTGTTAATTTTCGAGCAGCTCACGCAATAAAGCAAGCGCAGGCAGCGCATCACGTGCGCATTTAAGTTGCAAGTTACAACGGCAACGTGCCGCATCCAAAGATACACAGATACCGAGGACCGAGGACCATACCCCCGGTAAAACACACACAGCTACAGAGACTCGCACTCACACCGGCATAAATACAGGACTAGTTAGCTCATGTCAGTGTAAATTTTACACACAGGCGAAACCTGATGCCGCATACAAAAACCCAGGCAGGCAACTCACCTTTTTGCGGTTTATATTCAAGCGCGCGTGTGCAATAAAAAGATATACCCAGCAAACCTGGCATAACGGAAGTCGAGGCAAGTTTTTGGCATCCACCGGTGGAGGATGCAGGCGACCAGGAGGCTCCCGGGAAGTGGGGAGTGGAGAGTGGAACTCGGGGCAGCGGGAAAACACATAGCTGGCTGCGCTGCATAATCAGGCAAAGGCGACGGCGACAACGACAACATTTATCAAATGAAATGCACGTGCCAAGCGTTTGCGTGGCCCGCTTCCGTGAGGCGCCCCGTCGGCCGGGATAAGGTCCTCCGAGGAGGTGCCATGGCTCCGGGGGCCAAGCTTGTGCACGAGGGGTGCCCGAGAAGTTGGCAGGGATACTCCAGAACATTGTAAGCCAATAGGGAATAAGTAGCACTTTAAGAGGTATACAACAGAGACTTATTTCATTGTGAATTCCAGCCAATTTAACAAATATAAATTTATCCTCTGAGATAAATTTAGTAACAGAAAGAAAAAGTGGAAGATATGATTTCAATAATTTCTTGATGGTAATAATCAATTAACATTTATAAACAAGTGATCAATATCTCCTTAAATTCATTCATATTTTTTTAGCTCTAAAGAATTCTACAAACATTTTAATACAATTTATAAAATTTACTTAATTTATTTTGATAATTATTAATGTCATTTCCAAATCACTTTTACTTAAGAGAATTCAGAGATAATGATTTAAAATTCACAATTTCTCTACTTAATTAAAAATTTTGAGAAGAATCCAATTTGACAGGTCATGAAAAAAACCACCCTATTAATTTGTCTTCCCTCGTTCCGTGAGTATTCATTTCTTTGCATTATATGTAAGCGAATCTATCGTATATATGAGCGAAATCAGCTGCCAAGTGCACTGCGTCTCTGTAATTATAATGAGCAAAGTTACAGGATTCAGTTTCTTTTTCATTGAATTAACACAGTGCAGCGAAATGAAAGTGAGCCTTCCGAATGAGTTATGGATGGATGAGTGCTTCATTGTTTGGCACTCTCTGGGATTCGTTACGCAAATACTTATTTAATATTATAATACATTTTATATGTCGGTACAAGAGTCAACTTAAATAACCGAATGTGATCCTTGAATGCCTTTAAAATTCGTTTATAATCCCTTCGACAGATCTTGGGTGCAGCGATGTCTGCCACCCTTTTCTGGCGCCCCTCCAGAAATTGCATTCTGCTGTCGTCGTGGAAGTTTGTGCACCTTGCCACCAAGTGGCTGCCACTGCTACTGCTGCTCCTTCAGCTGCTTAAGTGCCATGCATTGAGATTGAGTTGTTTTCCTTGTAGCCACATTCCCATTTCCCCGCATTCCCATCGCAACCTTCACGGAGCAGCATTCCACTCGAGAAAATCGATGATGTCTTGGGTGCTTTTGTTTTTCCAGCCGCACTCCAAGTTGAAAATGTTTTGATAAACTAGCGCTCTGGCTATGCAAAGAAGGGAAGAGTGCTGCTGCTGCTGCTGCTGCTGAAAGAAAAGAGTGCTGAAAGAAAACCACTGGCAACTTTAAGCTGCAACAAATGCAGCAACAACGGCAAATGGCAATTGAAGCAACAACAGCTTAAGCAGTTGTCAAAACGTTGCTTCAAACGAAGGGAACAACTTTTTGGCCAACTGTCGAAAAACAAGCGAGATGAAATTGGTAAAACAATTGTCAATGCGTCAATTTGAATGGATTCCAGTTGCAGCAGAAGAAGCCGAGCAGCCACAGCAGATAAAAACATCAACAAGAACCAGTGTCGAAAGTTTGGCCAAGAAAGTTCGGCACAACAATACACAGAAAGAAAAGGATTTGAGATTTTGTAAATAATTAAAATAATAATTTGAGATTTTGTAAATAATTAAAACAAACTAAATTTTTTAATTACAAGTATTTGAGCAAGCCCACAAAAAGCTCTATCCAAGTAATCTGCTGTATCGATTAGAAATTAATATAAGAAAGTTAAGTTTCTGAAAAACAAAACGCAGAAAAAAAAAGAAATTTAGCATTTCCCATTTTGTAAATAAATAAAAATACGAAATTGAAATAAATTTATTTTTAGAGATATATTTTTAGTAAATTAAGTATAAATGTATTAACCAGCCTTATCGATTAGATTTTAAAATATATTTTGAGGTGTGTGCTAGCAGTCCTTGACCCAAAAGTCTGTGCATAAATCAAGCAGACAGAGTGAGTTATTCAACGAGCAACAAATAAGCTAAAATATGAACTGGAAATTTCTTATTTGCTGCCTGCTCGGCCAGTCTTTCGGTAAGTGGACTTGAGTGCTCTAATTAACCCCCTGAAACCCTTCTCAAACCTTCCTTAAAATCCTATCCAAACCCCATCCTAGTTATAGCGATCGAGGCCAACTGTCTGCGGAGCACAGGCCACATGTGGCAGCTGAAGCCTCCCACCGGCACAACCAGCTGCAATCGACCGTCATTACTGCCCAGCAATGCAACAGCAAACTCTGCAGTCGACATTGCAGCAGCTAAAGGGGGAACAGCAGAACCGGAGGTTGGGGGAACCCTGGCCTCCCCCCCAGTGGTGATTCTGGCCAACTATGTCTACGAATGCGCCAGTCGCCGGACTTCGAACAGTTGCAGCAAGCAGCCGGAGCCGGAATCGGAATCGAAGCCGGAATTCAAATCCGGACTGGAAAAGCCGGAGGTGCCTAAGCCCCGGACAACTGGGTGAGATGGGCTTTGCATGCGATTAATCCAGCTGAGGCGGAGGGTGATGGAAGCCCTCCATATATATACATTTGCATATATTTCATAAGGCAATAAATAAAGTTAGCCAAGCCAATGTCACTTTTCTTTAAGCATGGGAAATTGAGGTACTACAAAAATTAGATAAAAGCTTCAGACTTTATAAAAATATCCCTCGCTGAGTAACGGGTATCTGATAGTCGAGGTACTGAAGTTATCTTATGCATTAATCTTTGTAAATTACAAAGTTTACAATCCATCAAGATTCTCCTACATAAACATCTGTTAAAACCTACAATTGCAGTTGCAAAAGCAACAGTTGGCATTTATTATTTTCTTTCTCATAAGCAAAAATATAAACAAAGTGACTGTAAACACAGAGGCAGCTAGTGTGCTCATAAGACGATAAGAAGTGGAATTATCGTTCAGTTGTAAACTGAAAGCTTTTCACTTATCAGTAACAGCTGCACATCTCTGCGATTAGGTTTTAGAATTGTACAATCTCAGTTCGTTTAGTTCCGTCATGGCAGCTTGGCTTACCTCTGAATACCTGGAGGCTGCACTGCGTCGGCATTACCAGAACAACCAACTTGAAGTAGAATTGGTGGATGTAAGGCCCGCTTTGGGAAAGGGAGAGAATTATGGTGCCATCCTATCACGTATACGCCTTGTGTACAACACTGAACTGGGCGACAGAGTTGAGGAGCATCTGATGGCCAAGACCATTTTAGAAAACGAAGATGCGGAGACCAGGGAAAAGAAAGCTCCGTATGATATTTACAACAGGGAGCTGGAGATTTACGAGCAGGTGTTGCCCAAACTGCAGAAATTAGCAGGCGAACAACTATGCCCGAAAGTTATACACATAGATCGACAGAAAGGAGCCCTAATAATGGAGGACTTGAGCTATAGAGGATTTGTGATGGCCCCGCGACTCCAGAGATTGGATGAGCAGCATGTGAGTCTGGTTCTCAGAAAACTGGCCAAAATGCAGGCTGCTTCGGCGGTTTTAGAGGAAAGATCAAACGAGAATCACTTCTCTTTAACCAAGTACGATCGCGGCTTCTTCAATCGCTATACTGAAAGCTTTGGTGCCTATTTTTTAGGCTGCCTAATGTCCTGTGCCAGTTACCTGAAAACCCAGTTAGGTTACGAAAGGCAAGCCAAACTTTTAGAGGAACTTAAACCGCATTATATGGCCTTGGGACTTCGCTGCTTTAAGCCCGAGGAGGCGCACTTTAATGTGCTCACCCACGGCGATCTGTGGACAAACAACATGATGTTCAAGTACGAGGCGGGCGTGCCGAGCGATGTCCTTCTGATTGACTTCCAGTACGCCTTCTGGGGCTCGCCCACGCTGGACATTCATCATCTGCTCAACACGTCGGCCGTGGAGCGAGTGCGAGGCGTCGAGCTGCAAATTAAGATGAGGTGTGTCTACCACGATGTCTTCGTCAGGGAGCTGCGGCGGATGGGGTTCAAAGGTCGAAGGTTGCCCAGTCGAAAGCAATTTCACCTGGAGTCGGAGCAAAAGCGCTTCTACGGTGGGTAAACTTGATGTCTTAATCTCGGGGAGATTAGGAAAAGTTCATGAATAATTCATATATACAATTTTTCACTTCCCTTCAGTCACTATTTAAAAAAAGTGGAAATCAAGACTTTTGTTGTTACTTTAAAAATAAATTTAAATGATAAATGCCTTAAAATGTTTTCATAACAATAACAGTAGGAATTTTAAGAGTTTTTTCCCATAAAAATACTTTTAGAAACCGTTTAGTTAAAAAGTACAGCAAAAATGAATTAATACTTTTCAAAAATCTTAAATAATTTATTTATTCCTCTAGCTGTTCACTGCGGTCTGCTCCTGCAACCCGTGCTGCTAAACACCGATGAAACGGATGCGGATTTCGCGGCCCTGCTTTCAGACCAGCCTCGTGGAATGAACATGAAAAGACGGCTGTATCTCAATCCCAGCATTCAGGACTCCATCAGGCGGCTGGCGGAGCAGTTCGAGCTCGAAGAACTCCTGGACCCGCGGCAATACGAAGGCCTATAAACCTGAAGCCGAAGCGGATTTTCAGCTTTTTCATAAACTCCCCCATTAGACATTTCAATTAGACGAGCTAATAAACATAAAACATGGCAGCCACAGCCGCAGGCATTTTAAAGCCAGCCGTCAGAGGCTTTTTGAATTATGAACCGAGAGAAGAAAAAGGCCAGAACGAAAGCACATACACATTCAGATGGCCTAGACAAAAGCGCAACACATTTAGCTGCTGCCAAATGGGAAAATGGAAAAGTCGGCGGAGGTGGCGAATGGAAGGGCGAGAATAGTTACACACATTTTTTGAATTGTTTAGCATTTTGAATGAGTGAATGAATGGACGCCGTGCCGAGAGCTGTGAGTGCGTGTCTGCCGCAGAAAATGGGAATAAAAAGAAATGCTAAATGTGAATGTTGATGGGGATGCAGATGGGCATAAAGGGAAAGTCGCGGGAAAATGGAGAATCCAGCACGTGCTGCTGGCCTCTGCTTAATTAAAACTTTAGTGCGAAATGGCGGGCCAAGCTGTAGGAAAATTAACCAAATTATGACGTGTCTGCCGCTGGCGTTGCTGCATTCAAAACTGCATTAAAGACGAGTGCAATTAGGCTAAGCTTTGCCATTTAGCACGGCCTGCGCCTAAAACTAGGCAAGAGTTTATTATAGTTAAAAGAGAGGGAGAGAAAAACACAGTTGAACTTTTATAATGAGAACAATAAAACGCTAAGAAATTAAAGTCATTAAATATAGTTTAATAAAGCTTCTATAGTTAGTATGGAATATTCATAATAAATATTAAATATGCGCCTAGAAGTATGTAGTGAATTAAGAAAAACCGTTTTCCTGTATGAGTCATAACATTTTTGGGTTAAACATATATTGTTGCATACTATTAGACAACAGCTCTTTTAATGGAGGTTCCACTGTGGTAGTGGTGCTGCACTATAGAAAATTCTCAATAAAAGACTGAAAAGTAACGATGGCAAATTCGACGCCATAACATTTCGAAAATTCCAACTAAGCCTAGTGCATGCCATTAAATGATTGTCTTTGAGTGCAAATGTGTGAGTGAGTGTGAGTGGGGTTGCATGAGTGTGTGTACCTACTTGTTTATGTGTTTGCTATCTGGCTAAGAGACGTCCTCGAATGAGACATAAATGTTGCGCGTAAAAAGCGTCTCGATTCCCCAGTTTTCCTCTCGCTGCCATCGCTGTTTATTGTCCTCTTTTTTCCTGTATTTCCCTGTTCCTTTTTACCTTGTTTATATGCCCGTACAATGTGTGTGTGCCCTCCAGCAGCAGCCATCCTTGTCAAATATTTATATGTGCTGCATGGTTTTCACTGCTCGGCAAACATTCAGTGAAAATTACATTTTATGCATTTCGGAAAAAAACGCATCATTGACATTTTTGAACTATTTTATTTCGCGTCAAATTAATTTTTAATACATTTTTATTTGGCATTTCCGAGCCAATTTTACTTGAAAAACAGTTGAAGTTTGTTTTAATATTTTTTTCCCTCACTTAAAAAGTGTAACGATTGATTTAACGTAATGGACTGTAGAGTAGTTACTTGCTGTCAAATATTTTTAATTATTAGCTTTAGTTACGTTTTCAATATGTCGCATTTTTTCCAAATAAAATTACCAGCTTGTTGCATTTTCCTGAAATTGAAATGCGAGCATGTAAACATCATGAATTGCTTATGGAAAGCTCTTTTAACTTGTTAGCCAATTTTATTTTTACGGTCAGTCTGATTTTGTTTTTTTTGTACATGTACCTTGTTTAATTGTATTTCTGCTGAAATGACAAGCTCAGGTTGGCAAACTTTCTATGCCCAGTGAGCCAAAATTTGATTTAAGCCATTCCATAGATTAAAACTTTGGCTAGCCAGGGTAACAAAAAAAGCAAAACAAAATGAAAATCAAAGTTTACTATGCAGTGGAGTGGGGGGAAAATATTAAAATTGCTGTCCAGCCAGGGCCAGGATTTATTTTCTTAATCCAAATAATGTCAAAAAGCCACAAACAAGCGACAGCCACATAAAACAACTTAGCAAATGAGCACACAAACACACACTCACTCGTATTCGTACTCACACTCATACTCATGCAAGGGGGAAAAGCGAAGAAAAATGTAATTTATTGTTATTACGAAAATAAATAAGAAAGGCAAGACGCAGCACAAGCAACGAAATGAAAAGGGGGGCGGGGCCACGCCCACCTCACACACACACATATACCCAGAAATTGTGGCAAATAAAAGCGAAGAAATTAAGCAACTGACCGCTGGCAAATAAACCGAAAAAGCGAAAAGCACAGACAAAGAAACGGAGAAGAAATGGCAACGGCAGCCATTTTATATGCCATTACATTGTAAATAAAGTATTGTTTATTCCTGGTGTTGTATGGGTGTGTGTTCGTAGGTTTAGTGAACTATAACAAGTGAATTTATGTGAAGCCGAAGTTGTGCCAATGCCACATTTACTTAATAACTCAGTGGCCAGAGAGGTGGAATGGCATTACGTTTGGGTACTTAATCAGCTCCGAAACCGAAGCGACTTTTTGGGTTTTCAATCTAATCAACTCGATACCACACACGATACACAACAGCCCGGAAAATGTTTTTCCCAAATTGCAAAACTTCATCCTAGTTGCAACTACATTCTATTGCAGGTTTAGCCGAGAGTTTCCCGGAAAATTTCAATTTATCTGCAGCCAGCTGAGCCATCGAGTTGATTTCGCCCGCCCTTTGGAACAACCCTTCGGGTCAAGTGTGAGTAATTACCGCAGTTAGGCCGATCCGGCCGAAAGCAACCTGAGCAGGCAAATGAAATTTCCATGAGTCCAAGGGCCAAGCTTTAAAAATAGCTGCCTCCTGGGGGAAAATGGGGGAAAAGCGCTTGTTTTCCTATGTATTTTCTGCTGCTCAGTTGAGCGTGTGTTTCTGTGTATGTGTGTGTATGCAGGAGGTCAGGCAACACTTGACTAAACATTTTCATTTTGGCCAAGGGTTCTGATTCTGGCCAGAAGTCAATGAATTTTGCCACATGGCGTATGCTTGATATTGCGTGCTGTGTTTTTCCAGCGCTAAATGATTTCATTAAGTGCGAGCTCCAACACGCCGGCAAATCGATAAAACAAAAGTTCTCAGGCACTTAACAAATGGAAAAGATGATATTGTTTTTTATAGTTTAAAGCATTGGTTATCTTATAAAAATATTGAATTAAATATTGGGAGCAAAATTTTGTACAAAGTAATATAATTGCATAAGAATATTGCACTTTATTGTTTTAAGGGTTGGTTGCCTTGAAAAAATATTAAAATTAAATATTGGAATAAAGTTTTTTTGTAAAAAATATACAAATTAATTAAACAACAAAAAAATTTGTTTTATTTTTACTTTTAAGACCCTTAAACTTGTAACTCAAATACTTAAACAAAAGTTATTCTTGCTACTAAGGCTACAAATTTCCCTTTGTCGCCCTTGCATTGGAATTCTCCTTCACTTGTAATTACAATTTTAATTGTAATCGAATATTAATAATGCAATAAGTGAATTTCCTCTGCTGGACCAAGTCAAAAGTCATGACCTTTCGATCAGAAAGGCGGCGTCAATGACACATGGAATGCGACTTACATGTCGAGTAGAGCAAAAATGTAATTTATTCAGTGCTGAAAGATGGAGGCGAAACAAAGACACTGCCACGCCCCCAAATGGGAGGCCACATAATGAAAGACAAACAAAGCATTCTTTTAGGCGCCGCTGCAGCTGTTTGACATGGATAGCCGTCTTCGGTTGTGTCTGTATTCGTGCCTGTGTGTCGTTGGGTGTGTCAAAGTTCAAAGGACGAGGCGTAAGAATTAAAACGGATTAGTTGGGCAAGCGGCAAACGGCACATAGACCCAGCAACACAGCGCCAAGGGGTCCGATCCATCATCTTGGCACCAAGGGGTTAATGGCCTAGTTGCATCAACGGTGTGCGTCGAGATAAATCCATTTTCCAGACAGTTATCGAAAACTTATTAGCCTGCAGGATATGCGAGTTGTGTAAGCAACAAGGACAACACTTCTGTATTCCCAAGCAAACCCAACATATTTGTAATTTCACAACTTGTCAATCGAGTGGAAGGCGGACCAATATGAAATTGTCTAAATGAATGGCTACTGAATCTAATTGATTTAGTCGAGATGGATTTTAATTGCAGGCAAATATCTTAAGGGTCTAATGGGAAATAGCTGGAGAATTAATAATTGAGATGCCTGGGCTGTTGTTTTCACAGTGCCTGTAACAAGTATGCCATATAACGGGGTTCTAAGAGAGCAAAGGCGTTTAAAGAGAGGGGTTTTTTATGCTCTCAGGGAGAGAAATCTCTCATCCACTCTCCCGCATTCCCGCACGCTCTCTCTCTCTCTCTCTGCAGCAAAGCTCTCATCTTGCAGCTTTTTCCGCTCTTTCTCTCAAAAAGGATGCTGCGAGAAAAAAGCTCAAGCTCCTTACATTGAGTGCTTATTGAGTTAAGCGCTCTTCACACTTGATATCCTTTTGGCATTACTCTTGTTTGCTGGGCTGTGTGTTCGATTCCACTTGGCTTAAATTTCATTTTGCTATGTCCTCAGCATTAGCCAGCACATTCCTTCCTTCTTTGCCCGCAATTCTGTTTTTGTTGCCACTTCATTTTGGCCCAAAGAGCGAAAGGACCTCCTTGTTTTTTATCTCGCTTTTCGCCCTGCCTTGGGTTACCCGTCTGCCTTCTGTTCCTTATCTCTGGGCCCTTTCCCTCCTTTTTTTTTGCCTGCTGTTTTTGTTTTTATTGAACAGCGCTTTCATTGTTTGATTTTTGTCAACGCTTTCCTGGCTCGGCTTCACTTTGCTTACATAAGTGCTCGTCCCCTATCGTCCTTTCGTCCTGCTAACTTGGCCAAGACGTCTCCTGGCCATTTGTTTCTGCAACTTGCGTGTTTGATTTTTTCTGCCATTTGGCCTGCCATTGTTCATTTCTCGGTTAGTTGGTCTTTTAATCGCCTTGCTTAGTTATCCTGCCAACTGACTTTAGTCCTCTTTAGCCGGGCTTTTCATTTCAATTAGTCGAAGAGCATTGCTTAAAGTGCTTTGCTTTTCCTTGCCGACTTAATCCCTGTTGCTGTTGTGCTTGAGTTATTAGGTTAATATTTAATTGACATTTTCCCACATCAAAGGTGGCTGCTTTATTATCTATACCTAGGCTTAGCTAAGGTCCTTGTTTTATCGCCATTGATACGCTAATTACCAGCGATAATTTATCAAGCACACACACACGTTCGCCTGGCTGCTAAAAATTCAGCTGCAGTGGCAAAAATTGCTACTTAATTATCCCATCCTTTGTAGAAACCCCCATCCCCCTGCAATCCTTCGCCATCCATCCTTGGCACATCCTCGTCGTCAATGTCACGACTGCATGCCGTCATTTCCCCTCCCCCTCGCTTGGGGTAACTTTACAATTAACTACTAATTGCTCATACGCCACGTTGCGCGGATAGAACAAAGTCAGGTGTGCGTGGCGGCAGCAGTTTTCCCACTTTTTCTCTCCCCACCCCCCATATATTTTTCTTTGCCCGCCTTTTGCTCTAATTATCCGCGTTGTCACCCACCCGCCGACGGCAGCATCATCTTTGTTGTTGTCGCCATCGCTGTCTGGCATTTACTGAATTAAGTTTTAAATTTTTATTAAATGCCTTTGCGCATTTTTCGTCCCCGGCTTTCAGCTACTGTAATTAGTTTTTAATTGCTTTTCAGCTAGCGTAACTATGCGAGAGACTACGGTGCACAAACGTAAACAGTTCGCGGCTTCTTTAAAGATTTTCGCCCAGTTTTCCCACGTTTTTCACAGCTTTTACACAGCCCATCTGCGGCAAAGTCAATCAGCAATGGGGTCTCGATCCACATCAACGGCTGGTGTGGATGGAAATGGCATGAAAAATATGCGAACGGAAAATGGGAGGCAGCAAAAAGAGGCAGCCGGGATAAAAAGGAAAGTAATCACAAAACTTTCGCAATAAATCTATGAAAATAATGAAAAACCCAAAGTGCTAGCCCGCATTCTCCCTCACTATTAGGTTTTCAATATATCACACATATAGAGGGATGTCAATATGGAAATGGATAGGTCGGCCAGGAGGTCAGTGCGATAGTAAAATACTCTCAGTGTAAGCTTAACAATGGAGACAGATTTGAATGGAAAAATTTGGATATGCCATGCTTAAGCTATTTTAAATCTTTAAGAATATAATTTTCTTTTTTAGATATTTTTTGTCAGCAGTAAAGTAATTTAACTAATTAAATTTTTAATTTATGTAGATATCTTTAAAACATTTTTAAACTGAATTTGTAACTATTTAGATAATATATATTTTTTCCAACAGTTATAAGTTAAGTGAATAAGTTATAATCATTTGAAGCATTAATATTTAAATTAAATTATAATTGTATACACGAATGTGTAACTAATCTAATTATCCTAAAGCTGATTAAATCCGCCCCTTAATTTTTTTCACCAGCTAAAAACTTTTTCCATCTAAAACCCTGATGCTCAATCACCCCAACATTAAATTCCCCATAAATCAAGCAGAGCTCAACTTTCTATTATTTATTTTCTTGTCAACAAATTATGCTCCGCCAACGCTGGGTATCAGGTAGCTTTAATCACATAAGGCAAATACTTCACTCCCACAGAGTATCAATCAGCAAACATTGTATCCGAAAAGGTCCTTCACACAGACACACAGCTCATGTTCGTTCCAATTTCGGTACACAAAACACACACACAGACACAAACTCACCTCATGCAAATTGCAAACACATGTCGAAGGAGCAAAACATTGTCAAGCAAAATGAAAAATTTATGAAAACGAAAATGAAACAACAACAAGACGAGCAGCGAAAAATATGTCGCGACCGGCTGCAAAAAAGAAGTGAACCAAAAAAAATAAATAAAACATATTTTGCAAAGGGCGAGCTGCAAAAAAAAAGTGAAATTTTCGTTTCGTTTACGTGAAACTTCCAACTCATTTCGCCCAAATGACAAGCCATTTTGTGTGCCAAGTGCCAAATATTTTACATGCCAGCCAGCCAAACATATTTTGGCACAGAACAGCTCAACAAAATGGAGAACTCGTAGCGAAATGTTCCCAAAACGAACGAAACATACGAGCAGAGCAGCTGGCTCGCCTTTGCGAAATCACTCATACGCAACGTTGCCGCCGAGCATTGAACAGCTTCAATTGCCGTTTGATGGTTCATTAAAATTTTGCTTGCTGCATTGGCTGGGAGCAATCGAGCACAATAAATCGAGACCAGGTGCCGAGAACCGAGGACCAAGCATTTATGTGGGATGCAATAGCTTCAGAGCAGCTCAAGGGTTCAGGTGGAAAAGCATTTGCCACTGGCAGCCATGCCAAATTAATGTTTTGCCACAAGCTTAGATAAATAGCAAAATAAATTAAAGTGTGCAACTTGGCCTGCACCTTAATTGCCGACTGAAGTCGAGTCTTGAGGGGATCTTAACCTAAAAAAGGAACATATGAATGGTGTGGCGTAATATTAATGGGATACCTGGCACACGTGCGCCAGTACTTGCAATCATTACTTATCCCGAAGTTGCTATCCAGAAATGGAGTACTGAGAAAGTAATTTCATACGTTTGTGACATCTGAAATTCTGCATAAATGGTTTGATTTCCCAGTAAAGCTTGAGATTTATTATAATGTTTATTGCTATTAAATAAATTAAATAAGATTAAATTAAATTATTGGTAAAACTGGGATAACTGTTTTAACGTCTTAGATTAATTTATTATTTGTAATAAAATAAATTAAGCTTTGACTTAAATTAAATTATAATTCAGAAATAATTACTGGAAGAAATATTATTACTCAAAAATATATTTCCCAATTTTATATTTGTTTTCAAGTCTTAGATTTATTTGTTATTTCCTATTTACTTCGAGTTTATTGTATTTTTCCCAATTTTGTTAGGCATTGTTTTCTGTTCTCTTTCATTGCTAGCATTAATCTTTTAAATCCCGAAGTCCCCGAGATTGGAAGATACGCCGAGGTATTGCCCTGTCGAGTATCTGGGGTTAAATAAATTTTCGTTGGGCTTTCATGCGTTTACATGCCACTCACGCAGGTGCTTCGCCTGGCCACGCACATATCTAATTTTAAACATTTTTCAAACTCAATTACATTCCAAGAAGTCGCGCCGAGGGAGTCGGACGGATATGAGATGTATGTGGGTGAGCCCCTGCCAGGTAATTGCTTGCAAATTACACAGTAATACTCCCACACACCTAAACCCGGAAAATAAAAACCAAGGGGAGACAAAAAGTGAGGACTGCGAACTGCTGACTGCGAAAACTTTCCACAGCAGCTGCCTGAAGTTGAGACTCGTCTCCCTTTCGTAATGAAATCAAACAAAGACACCGAACCCGAGGGGTGGAAATCATCTTAAATTAGCAGCAAAACTCGGCAATTATGCGAGAAGTTGGCCAAAAGCAGTTGCCAAACTCCGCAAACCATTCTCATTCTCATTTTTTGTGTGTGTCTCTCTGCCTGAAATGCTAATGACATGCCCGCACACTAAGTCAAAGAGAAAGCGAAACGAGTGGGGGAGAAAGTCAAGCCACAGGTTGACTGACTGACTGATAGACTGACTAACTGACAAACTGGCAGACTGCCGCCGGAAATGGCAGCGCCGAATGGCAGCACAAAATGGCTGTTTGTTTGCTTCCGGTCTAGGCCAAAGACGGCAAACACATTTAGCCACGAAGTGAGGAAAGTCCCGCCCCGCCCTCGTACATATTTTATGCAAACGAAAAGCACACTGCCACTCTACTTCACTGGGAAAAAAAGGGAAAAAAACCCACTCTATAGGTGTGCAGCCTCACCTCACCGCAAACTTAAAATGGAAAACCGCGACCTCTCCACCTTTCCACTCATTCAAAATGCTTAGTTCATATTAATAATTCATAAAAATTTATGCGAAATAGACAACATTCGCTGTTGCGGTCTAAAACCTGGCTGACAGCTGCCATTTTGCGGTCGGCGGGCCGATGAAGTCGACTCCTCGGCCAGCTGTTTCCTATATTTGATATGCATTCGCCGTTGTTTTTATTCAGCTCTCTTCTCTGTTTACATAACATACAGCTGCTGCGAAAACACCATATTTCGCCCATGTTGATGTTGCTTTTTGTTCGCCCCATTGTTTTTTGTACCAATTTATTTTCTGCATATAAGCTTACATTTTTAAGCAAGGTTCCTCCGCCTGGCGTATCGTTTGTTTCTGGGTTATTTCAGCACAGCAAATGGGACGAAAATATGAAGAGCTTGTTCTTAAAGCCCGTAAAATATGCAAAGCCTGTTTGTTTCAAGTAACATAGGAAATGTTTTCCCTCTAGTTTAATCTTTATGAGAACCAAGGTATTTGTAATTTGAACGAAATATATTTTTAATAAAATAAAATTAAAAATTTATGAGTTAAAACAAAAATTTAAGACAAAGAGATTTCCTTGGAATTTTATATAACTGAACCTAACTCACTCACTTTTTTGTAAAAATATGAAATTTCTTTTTTGGTTTTTGCTGTAACTTCGCCAAAAATGATCCGAAATCAAAGATACATACTGCTAACAATTTAATAAAAAAAATTATGTAAAATGATTTCATGGTATGATTTTATCTGCAAACATCGGCTGGCCAAAGCTAGCTTCCCTTCTTGTTATAATATGTCTTATAAGGTTCAAAGAGCCGGCAATTATAAAAAGTAATTTCAAATTAATCCGCTTAAGAGTGAAAAGAAATTGAATTGAAACACTCTCACCACTCATTACAACCAACCATTCAATGGCAAATTTTTTCCAATTCGCCGATTGATGCGATTATGCCAGTTAGATTTCCAAAAGTATTTCCAAATCATGGCAGTTCTGGCATCCAAAGTCCATTTAATAAAATACAAATTATATTTGTTACTAATTTTTCTGTCAAGGCTCTTCTCATAAATGGTTCGATTTCGAGGGGCTTTAAGAGCTGCTTGCTGTTGGAGTCGCAGGATGTGTTTTCGCGTCGAGGAGGGGATCCTTCGTTTTACTGAAAAACATCGCGAGAAATTCGTGGGCTTAGTTCATCCCTTTTCGGCATTATTTCTGCTCGGTCTGATTGGATTTCTCACCGTCTACGAATTGTACTACGTCCTGCCGTTAATAACCGATCCCCAGGGGATATGGCACAAGTTCAACTGGCTGCTGGGAATTTATGTTGTCTTTAATATACTGGGAAATTGGTGGCTCGGCTTTGTGAGGAATACCTCTGTGGAAAGTCTGCCGGCGAAACGACAACATCCTGCGGTGGGTGAGGCCCACCTGTGGCACTATTGCACCACCTGCCAAAAGCTAGTGCCACCGAGGTCCTGGCACTGCCGATTGTGCAACCTGTGTATCCTAAAGCGGGATCATCACTGCACTTTCACGGGAAATTGCATTGGGCATACAAATCAACGGTATTTCCTCGGCTTCCTGTTTCACCTCACTTTGGGCAGCGGTCAGGCCCTCGTCTACAATGCCCTTTTGACCTGGGAGAACAAGGCCTTTATGGTCTCCGATCCTCTGCTTTTGCTGGCCCAGGATCACCCACAGGATGCTGAATTTGAATGGCAGTACACCGTGGCCGCCATCTTTAAACTGAGTTTGTTCCTCTTCATGGTTCCCCTGGGCATGTTTGCCCTGCAAATACTGATGGTCCAGAGGAACAGCACCTGCTATATGATATTGGACCGCAGCTACGATGTCGGCTGGCGGCGAAACTTTGACTTGGTCCTGGGAAAAAGACGCTTCTGGATATTCCTATCGCCTACCATTAAAAGTCCTCTGCCCACCGATGGCACTCAGTGGATACAAAAGTATATGGTTTAAAAAAAATAAATCTATATAGTCGGCTGTCAGTTTCTTGTTTATATGTCTCACTCAATTCAAGTCGCTTCCTTAAATCTTACGTTTAAATATTCAGATCAAATATATATTTAATATCCCTAGCCATGTGCATCGTGGTAACTTACTGCGAATATTATGCCCATCGCTTTCCCAAGAAGTTCGTGCAGATAGTTCATCCTCTGTCGACAATCTTTGTGGTGGGAACAATTGTATTTTTCTTCTGGATGCAGATGTTTTTAATTGCACCTCAAGTGTACAACGACTTCGGCTACAAGCTCTTATGGATCGTGGTCATCTTTATAATGCACAACATTTTGGGAAACTGGATAGCCTGCTATAGAACAAACTCGTCGGTGGAGATTTTGCCCAAGGAATCCCAAGTTCCCGTTCCAGAGAAGGAACACCTGTGGCGTTTTTGCGACACCTGCAACAAGCTGATGCCCCCGAGATCCTGGCACTGTGCATTGTGTAATTGCTGCATTTTGAGGCGAGATCATCACTGCATCTTCATGGCCACTTGCATCGGACTCAATAACCAGCGATATTTCATCTGGTTCGCTTTTTATTCGACATTTGCCTTGATCCTAAGCTTTGCCACCTTTGTCATTTACTTTGCAAGAGTTGGCTGCAGCACTCTTCTCAGCCCGGATATTTTTGTCATTCTTCTGCTTAATTGCATTTGCGGCGTGCAGCGCGATAGGTCGAAAGAGAGTTTGTTTCAGACCACGGTCTTCCTATTCAATATTGTCGTCCTCCTAATTCCCGGCTCCATGCTGGCCTATCAAATTCAGATTTTGTGGCGCAACTCTTGTTACTATAAAATCAACGATAGTGCCTACGATTTGGGTTTCCTAAAGAACTGCAAGCTTATTTTGGGCCAACGTGGCCTCTGGACATTTCTATCGCCCTTCCTGAAGAGTCCTTTGCCTCACGATGGTACAAAGTGGGAAATGATGCCACAATCCAATTAACTAATTGAAAACATTATTTTGAAATGGAGGAATAAAATTTCATATAACAAAAAATAAAATTTGGAAAAATTTTTGTTAGAAATAAGAATCGTTACGGTTTATGTTGTAAGCTTACAATTTATAAGTGGGTGTAAGGAAGATATATATATTTAAGCAGAAAAGCCACTGGTTCTGAAAAGAAATAACAACGCCACAAAGCGGATAAAAAAGCAACTTGTTTAAAAAAATCAAAAATGAAATTATATAGTCGGCTCACACTTTCTTGGTTTTTATCTTTAATTCAAGTCAAGTTGCTTGTGTCAATAGTTAGTTTAAATCTTCCGTTCATATATTCAAATAATAAATTTCTTCGATATCCAGAGCCATGTGCTACGTCAATGATTTCTGCTCATATTTTGCGAAGCGCTCTCCGACGAAGTTCGTGCAGATAGTTCATCCACTCTCGACAATCTTTGTGCTGGCGGGAATCGTATACTTTTTCTCAGTGCAGATGTTCTTTATTGCCCCGAAAGTGTACAAGGGAATGGGATACATGCTCTACTGGATCCTGGCCATCTTCATAACGCATAACATCCTGGGCAACTGGCTGGCTTGCTATAGAACAAGCTCGTCGGTGGAAAGTTTGCCCAAGGAAGCCCAAGTTCCGGTTCCAGAGGAGGAGCACCTGTGGCGATTTTGTGACACCTGTAAGAAGCTAATGCCTCCGAGATCGTGGCACTGTGGATTGTGTAAATGCTGCATTTTGCGACGGGATCACCACTGCATCTTTACATCCACTTGCATCGGACACAATAACCAGCGATATTTCCTTTGGTTCTTATTCCATTTATCATTTGCCTTGGTCGTGAGCCTGGTCACCTTCTGCATTTACTTGAATAGGACTCACTGCAATACGCTTCTCTACCCGGAAATGTATTCGCATTTCCTTTTGTATTTCATTTGCGATGCGCAGCCCGACAAATCAAAAGAAAGTTTATTTGAGACTGTGGCCTACCTTCTAATTTTTCTGGCCGGCCTTATGCCTGGCTTCATGCTGGCCTATCAAATTCAGATTCTATGCCTTAACGCTACGTACAATCAAATATACGAGCTTGTCTACGATTTGGGTTTCCTCAGGAACTGCAAGGTTATTATGGGCCAACGAGGTCTCTGGACATTCATCTCGCCCCTCTTGAAGAGTCCTTTGCCCCACGATGGCACAAAGTGGGAGATGAAGAAGGAATCCAATTGAAGTAGTCGATGTCCTACAGTATGTCACACATCTACATTATATCTACAAGATATCTAAACAATATATACACGATATCTACATGATATCTACATCAAAAGAAATAAGTTTATTTTTTATTATAAATAAAAAATATATAAAAACATGTATTTTCTAAGGGTCATACAAATTTTCGAGCATCAGACCATTGGGATACATTTTTTAATAACTTGAAGTTCAATAGATCGTTTTATAAGTCAAATTTCACTTCTGTATTGGTACTTATTAGTCACAAATAACAAACACATTTTTCATTTCATGTCATTTACACTTCATTTTCCATATTCTATAAAATATCGTAAGCCATGTGCATCTTGACGGAAACGTGTCGCCATTATGCCAAACTTCATCCTAAAATGTTCGTGAACATAGGACATCCGCTATCGGTGCTTTTGGTATTGGTGGGCACCGCTTTCTTCTTCTCACTGCAAATGTTCTACGTGGTGCCCAATATATTCGGAGCCGATTCGTTAATGAACAAACTGGGCTGGCTAGCGGGCATCTTTGTGACGTACAATATCCTTGGCAACATGCTGGCATGCTACCTCACGAGTTCTTCGGTGGAGAGTCTGCCCAAGGGTCGTGAGTTTCCGGAACCCGAGGAGGAGCACCTGTGGCGTTATTGCGAAGTCTGTGAGAAGCTGATGCCACCGAGATCCTGGCACTGTGCTTTGTGCAAGTGCTGCATGCTGAAGCGAGATCACCACTGCGCCTTCACGGCTAACTGCATCGGACACAATAATCACCGATATTTCTTCTGGTTCATCTTCTATTTGACCCTTGGAACATCCTTGAGCATGGTCACCTTACTAATTGATGGGCTGAGAAAAGTCTGGCTCTTGGGACCCCTTCATTCCAATCTAAAGGCGCTTTTATTAGCTACTGCTACTCAGAAAATAGAAATATACGGTATTTACGGGCACTACCTTCTCGTGCTACTCAACGCTTTAGCTTTCGGCTTTCCTGCCCTCATGCTGGCATTTCAAATACAGATCATGGACTCGAATGCCACGTACTACAAGATGTTCAGTCGGCTCTACGATCTGGGTTTCCGAAAGAACTGCCAGCTTATTTTGGGCCAGCGAGGCCTCTGGACTTTCGTATCGCCCTGGCTGAAGAGTCCTTTGCCACACGACGGCAGCCGGTGGCAGATGAAGCAGGCCGCCTAATTTATTCGATAGTTTAAGTATACATGTGCAACTAAATACTAAAAAATAAATATATTTTGTTATGTAAGTTTTAACAAATTTATTGGAAAAATTAAAAAATATATGTGTAGTGGAATATAGCAAAATAAAAAATTTGTAATAAATAAAAAGAAATAGTAAAAAATGTTGTTTAATGTTTGAAGCAAGCCGTTTAGTTTAATCGGTGCCTTTAAAATATACATATGTGCAACTAAATATTGGATAAAAAATATATTTATAAATATTAAAATTAAAAAAAAAATGTTTGGAATACTTTAAATATATTTTTGTAAATCTAAATTCTGAAAAATAAATATTACAAAACGTATTTTCATCCAGTTTAAACTTTCTTACCTGTCAGTAGGTTCAAACGAACTTTTATTCAGTCACTAGCTACATTTTTCAAATTTTTAATTGCACTCTAAAATGTGTTTCATATGGGACTGCACAAAGTCCTTTGCTCGTCGACACCCCAAGTGTTTCGTAGGCTTCTTCCATCCATTTACAGTGCTCTTTGTACTGGGGTGCACTGTCTTCTTTGTGGGGCTGCAAATGTTCTATGTGGTGCCCGAATTATTTAAAACCGATACGTTGATGTACAAACTCGCCTGGATAGCGGCCATCTTCATAACGTACAACATCCTTGGCAATATGCTGGCCTGCCACCTCACAGACACTTCGGTGGGAAGTCTGCCCAAGGATCGGCAGATACCGGAGCCTGGAGAGGAGCCAATGTGGGATTTTTGCGATGTCTGCGAGAAGCCGATGCCTCCGAGATCCTGGCACTGTGTCCTCTGCAATCGCTGCATTCTGAAGCGGGATCATCACTGCATCTTCACGGCCACCTGCATTGGTCACAATAATCAGCGGTATTTCTTCTGGTTCACCTTTTACTTGGCTTTGGGAACTGGCGTGGCTTTAACCACTCATATGCTTGTGGTTCTACAATATTGCAGCTATTTCGATTTAGTTACCAGGAATATTGATAGCTATAGAAGACTCCCCAGTTGGCTCTATTTAAACTTGTTCGTCACTATGTACGCGTTTCCAGCCCCAGCGGCAGCTATTGTAGTTCAGTTCTTGGCATTACGCTTGAACGGCACTCTGCATGACCTCTACAGCAAGACTTATGATCTGGGAATTCGGAAGAATTTTAAAATGATTGTGGGCGAGAGGGGCCTCTGGACCTTCCTTTCACCCAGCATCAAGAGTCCTTTGCCCCACGATGGTACCAAGTGGGAAACTAAGGATACGGACATCAGCGAGTGTTAACTTTCCATCCTTACTTAAATAGTTAATTTTAAAATTCAAATGCATAAATACAAAATTAAAAAAATAAATAATATAATAATATATATTTCCTTTCCTATTTAAACTGTATAGAATTTTATCCTTTTAAAAGAATCTTAAGCTAAAAAAATTTAAAAATGTAAAAAAATATTGTTCATTTCTTTAAATAAATAATTATAATTTGTAAAAATATATTTTTTTATTTTCTGAAATTTGGTTTAAATCTACTAGTTAAAACTGTGAAATATTTTAAAGTGTGACAAGAAACGTCATACTTCCTAAAATACCTTATTCCCACTGTCTAAGAAAACGTTCTTTGAAATAGTAATCAACGTATTCAGTAGTACATATCACTTCTTACAAAATTACAGTTTGTTTCCAGTTTCCTAACTGCAGTTTATGGAAGTCCCCCTAGAATCCCTAAGACATCGAATCACCATGGATTCATCAGAGCAACAGGAGACAGTCAGCGTTCCAGGTGGTTGCGTTGTTAAGGATTGCAAGCGTTGGCAGGATGTCGTTGCAGTGATTTTGAATGTGCTTATGACGCTCTTTTTTTACTTTTTCGACGTGTTCTACGTAATGCCGCAATTTTTGGGAATCTTTGGACAGACGGTTCATTTTCTGGTTAGCACTTGGATAGTCTACAACATACTAGGAAATTTAAGGGCCTGCATCGGGACGATGAACTCGGTGTACACCTTGCCACCGGAAATGCAACAGCCAGCGGAGGGAGAGGAGCATTTGTGGCATTTCTGTGACCTCTGCCAGAGGTCAGTGCCGCCAAGGTCGTGGCACTGCAAGACCTGCAAAACTTGCATTCTGAAGCGGGATCACCATTGCAACTTTGTGGGCAACTGTGTGGGCCACAACAACCATCGGTACTTTCTGTGGTTCTCGTTCTACGCGACCATCGGCAGTCTACTGGCCCTCGCCGATAATACTTTGCTCGCCAATAAGTACGACATTGGAATCATGGATATAATTACGATTAATTTCATTATCTATGAGGAGTTCATGAACCCTGGTACCCATGATTTGGGCCTTCATATCGGCGTAAGAATGCTCTTGGGCATGAACTTTGTGGCTATCGCACTTCCGGGCTGCCTTGCAGTCACAACACTAATGACCATCCGATATAACTCGGTGATGTATAAAACCTTTGATAAAACTTACGATCTGGGTTTGTGGAAAAACATAGCTGAGGTCCTGGGACGTCGTCGATTATGGACCCTCCTATCGCCCAGCATCAAGAGTCCTCTGCCCCACAATGGCACCCAATGGCAATCGAAGAATAGCGTCTAGCTTTATTTTATTATCGTTGTTGTCACAGATTATACTTTACTTTGCATCCCACACAATCTGGTCTTTTGCTACATTTAATTCTGCTAATTGCCTTGGGAAACCGAGGGGATGATAAGCGGGGGAGAAGTGCCACGTGTCCAAGTTTTATCGATAGACAGTTACTGAGAAACCATTTAATCTCTTTTGATGAGGAGTCAATAGTTTTAGATGTTTCGTTGGTTCCGAATTTCTAGTAATGTTCAAGGGAATATTATATGCTAACGGAATTATAACCGAATGTAGACAAATCCTTATTTTAATGCAGTGAATGGTTTTTTAAAATATATGAAGCTCATCGAATTTTTCGTTTATAGCTTCGTTAAAAAAAATCTTAAAATTGTTTTCAGTACGGGTTTTGAAGGATAGAGTGTTGCACTTTTAAAATGCTGTAACTGCATAACAAAACAAGAATCCGTTCGACTGTAAAATAATTTCAAAGTTTATTTGTCCAATTTTGAGTTTAAATTCATCGTGATACATTTTTGATGTTACATAGTGTAATTATTTCAACTGGCAGGATATAAAGAAGTCGCCTAGAAAACAGCGAAAGATTTTACTTCCGACTTCCCCATCATTTGCATAAAGTTCCGCCCCCGCGAAATCCCTAGACTCGTGCCCATGAAAGTCAACCTCAAATCTAAATCTGTCCATGGCTTGTGACACCTTCTGCCGCAAGTCGAAAACACTTGTCAAGTGTCGGAAAAAGCCAAAATCCGTTTTGAAAAATGGTAGCCACTCCGGGATAGAGATAGACGACTCTGATGAGAAGCACAGGGGTATTGGGGGATGGGCTATGGAAGAATTAATGACGGCGCATGCCAGTGACAAGCCCCCGAAACAAGGAATCAAAGTCCAAGAGTGGGCGTTTCCGTTTCCGTGTTTCCCTGTTTCGGTGCATGAAAAATGTTCGAGGTGCGAAATCTGTTGCGAGGTCTAAACAACATAATTGCCAAATAAAAAAGTCGCCGCCGGCTCAAGCAGAAACCGCCTGACCATTAATCAAAACTGGCTGAAAAATGAGCAGAAGCGTTTCGAGGAGTCCATGGAACAGCTGCCTTCGGCCAAAAGCACGAGTCACGGGTCCACAGAGAAATGGCATTGTCAACACTTTTTGGCCAATCGGATAATGGTGGGGGGAATCCCCGTCAGCGACATTTGTTCCGGCAATCGCTTATTGCGATGGTCATATCGAAGTTCCCGAATCCGCCTCCCCGGACAACTGATGGCTGATGACCTCTGCTTTCTGATTCCTGATTGCAGCGCACTCAATTGGGAAACTTCCGACTAAAAAGGAAGGACAAAAATAACAGCTGATACGTGTTTCGGGCCTTTAAAGATCTAACCAAGAACAAGTAATCTTTATAGCGGAGGGGGATATCCACATCTGTTGTGGATATTTGAATGTGCCCCTGGAATACATGTCGGCATTTGAGGCTAGAGAACTTTAAACTGCGGGCCCATCGCCAATAGAGGATGGGCAATGAGTCCTTTCAGTCTCACATTCATATACCAGCCACTGCACCGAAAAAAAATTGTCAAAATATCAGATTGATATGTGCAGAAAAAATTAAAATTTTTTTAGGATCAAGTTATTCATATCATTTTGATATGAATAGATATCAGGTTTATCTTATTTTACTAATTTCTAAATTAGTAAACAGTATCTTTTAACCTTTATGAAATGATAAAATATCAAGTTGATATGTTTAAATCATAAATTTTACATTATTCACATCGCTATTTCATATCGAATTTTTCTTCTGTGGTGCAAACCCTGGGCCTGTTAACTGGTTGGCTGGTTGACAGTCTCTCAGCCAAAGCAAAAACCCACCCATTCTCAAACTCAAACTCATCCTGTGGGCAGGACAAAATTTACCGCTAAGCATTTGCCAACAATGTGCGACTGTTCAAAGGACAAAGGATCTGGGATGACATGGGGGATCATGGGGGTCAGTGTAATCATAACGGTGGCTCCACTTTCAAGAGGAGATTTCCTAAACAGAACAAAAAATACTCTAAAATGGCGCCAAATTAGTCGTATTGCTTAAAATATATTCAAAATATAAGCAATTCTAAACAATTTCACTTGGACAATTCAGCGATTTTAATCCCATATTTTCCCAGCCCTTTTGGCAAACCAAACGAATTCAATTGAGTGGAGCGGCTTTTTCTGCAGATTTTCACTAAGAATTTTTCGCTGCTCTTCGAGACGCTGACTGCGCTGCTGCTGCGCTGCCACTGCTCTGATTTTTCTCTGCTTTTCCTCTGCTTTTTCGCTGCTTTTCCTCTGCTTTCCCGGTGCTTTTCCTCTGCTTTTGGCTGATGGACAAATGGCATCGCCAAGTGAGCAGCAACTAAGCAGCGACAGTTTTTATGATTTCTGGGTTTCACTGGGTTTTCCTTTTGTTTGTTTTGCAATTATTTCCCCTGACGGGAAAAGTGGACTGTAATGTTACTGTTGCCGTCTCTTTCGGCTTTTGGCAATGTTAGTGTTAACTCACCCCGAATTTTCCACTTTGCTACAATTGTCGCATTTTTATTAGTACGAAAATGTGTTTGTCATATTTTCTTTGAAATTCGAGAACTTGTTTGCTGGCTTTGCCATACTTTTCATTTGCATACTTTTCATGTGGCATGCACTTAGTTTCGTGTATATGTTTCACTGTTTCTCTGGGTCTTTGGATCTCTGGGTAATTTCATTTGCACCAAGTGCCTGCTCACCTTTCGCCATTTGGTATTCCTTGCCTTTATTTGCATGACCCCTTGATATTATTCCCACCACCCCATTTTATTTGCCCGGCACTTCACACGCTGCCACTTTTCCATTTCCCTTTTTCCATTTTCCATCCTCCCCCCTCATCGCACGTACGCACATTCGGTTTCACCCCATCCACCCCCTTTTCGCCTTCGTTTTGCGGTCATTTAACTGATGTTTCTATCTCGTCCAGACTTCCTTTGTCTCCGTCTCGCTTTCTCCATCCCCCATCTCGCTTCCACTTGGCCTGCGGCCTTTTCCGGACGGCAAACGGCAAATGCTGAAATCGTGCGAAAAATTAAATAAATGACCAGCTCGATTTGCCCATTCCCATTCCCAATCCCATTTCGATCGGGTTCGCCTTTATTTCCACCTTATTTATGGCTTTAATGTGCTATAATTCTGCATTGATTTCCATTTACCTTTTAAATTTATGGCTTAAGGGCCTCTGAGCCGAGTTAGCAGAGTTAGCTGCTAGAATATTTTATATTTTTTTTTAAGTAGATATCAATCGAATATCTGTGCACATTTCATTTAGAGGTTTATAGGGTATTTTCCAAAAGCACTTGAGTAATGAAATGTATGTTTTGTACATAATAATTATTTTAAAATTTGTTTACAAACAAATTTGCAAAAATTAATTTTTTGATAAAAATTCATTAAAAATTTAAAGTTTATAGGTTTTAGCGCAAAATGATTGAGAATTTTATAACAATATCATCCTTGAAGTATTTTATATTATAAAAGCTAATCTTTGGATAAAAAAATTCCTTGCAATGCATTAGAATTTTAAAAAAATCCAATTCTTTTAGATTTTTAAAAATCTTATAGTATGAGGAATAAATTTCCAAGGTATCATGATATGCGAGAGTTTTAAATTAATCCTCATCCCTTTCGCACTGTTGAAGCATCTCGTTTGCATTCAGCAGCAAATTGGCCAACAGCCTTGCAGCTTGTAGTCCGAAATTGCCTTTCATGGCGTCAATTCCATCAGCAATTTCCGCGCCAATTAAAAAATTGTTGCAACTGGCCGTTTTCGTTTTCTGGCCCTTGGCATTATTCGCCTCTTTTCCATGCCGAGCACGCACTGCAGGAGCGGATGGGGAGGGGATGGGAAAAATTCAAAAGGGTGGGTGGAAAGTGCGTGGGTGGGAATGGTGTGTGAAGGGGGAATTTCGGGTGTGGAATCGCGAATGAGCTTCATCTGGCTCGCCTTTCTCTCTTTTTGTTGTTCATCATAAATAAATACTGTTAATTTTTCAATTGTTCGCTTGGCCGCTTAACGGCCTCCGCCCGAAGGGGTGGAAAACCCCTACCCTTCCCACCTCCCCCCACCCACAAAACGTGGCACGTGCAATGCCATACACATGAAGGGGCTCCCTCCCGAAAATTTTCATCGGGGGAATCCGATTCACCATATGCCATGGAGTCAAAATATGTGCTGCCCGGAAGTTTTGGGCTACGTGGTGACGGAGATTGACAGACTAGACAATTGGTACACTAAGATAAATAAGATAAAATAAGATAAATACTTACTTAAATTACTTTCCGTAATTTAATAATGATAACAGTTATTATGATGATAATTATAATATAATAATATAATATAGGTTCTTAAGAATGTCTTGTTCATTTTACAATAATTGGATCGTTTCGTAGATGATTTCAAAAAATTTACCCTAATTGATTGATATGTATTTTGAACGCCTTTGATTTTGTATCATAGTTATTTCCTCCAGTCCTTTTAACTACATTCTTATTATTTCTAATAAGAAAAATTTAAGTTTAATATTTTGTAAGTAAAGTATTGTTAAATTTATTTTTTTTTATTATTATAGTTCCTTAAAATAATATTGGTATGGAATCATCCTTACTAATGTTAATTTTCGATAGAGGAAAATATTATATTATTTTCAGTACTTTATTAATTTGGATATAAAGAGGTTTTCCCGCTGTGCATGAGCAATAAAGTTGACAGTTTTCCGTCAGTTTTCCGTCAGACGGGAACGTGACGGCTTGGAGGAGGAGCGGAGCTGAAGGCCAAGGATCGAGGACCCGAGCGGATGGAAAGGAAGTCCTGGAGGGCACGTGGTGTTGTCTGGACGACGGTTAGAGCGACGTCGGAAAAGTTGGAACCGGCGTCGCCACCGGATATCAAACAGTTTTGGCTGTTTGCTGGAATGCCCCGTCCTAATATGCAATATACAATATACAAAATCCGAATATCCCACACACACACGAATATCCCATGCCAGGAAC